CTTGGTCGTGGAGATGGGCTTGGCCTTGGAGATGGGCTTGGTCTTGGTCTTGGGCTTGGCGGCTGGCTTGGCCGATGGCGTCGACCGCGCCGACAACGACGACGAGGTCCGCGCGGTGCCTTGCACGGGCGTCGACGGCGCCGAGCCCGGTGCAAATGTCCCGTACGACGGCGGCGACCGCAGGGCTTGCGCAGTGGGCGAGAGCGGATGCAGCTCTTCGAGGTCGACACGGGGCACTGTAATCGGCGCTGGTTTTTGCTTGGTCAAGCTAGTTGCATCGACCTACATGAGAAACACAGAAGAAGACAAGTGATGTACCCGGCGTGCTTGACGACAAGGAGGAGCGTCTCGACGAGCTCCTTGAGGTCGTGGTCGACCTGGAAGGCTTCCATGGCGCCGACCATAGCGTCGTTCTTGGCGCGCCAGAGCCGAAGCAGCCCCTGGTACTGGAGGCTCGTGAGGGCGTTGCGCGACTGCATCTCCTTGAGCACGTCTTCCATCGAGAGCGCGGTGACATCATGTACGCTCGGTGGCAAAGGCGACGCGACCGCCGCCGACTTGAAGCGCACGATACGCAGCAGCGTGTCGGCAAACTCCATTCGGTCTTCGTCGAGCTCGTAGACCTCCCATGCCGCGAGCACGAGCTCGTTGCCTGTCCATCGGATGAGGAGGAGGCGGACGAGGCGGAGGAAGCGTAGTACTACTACCTTGGGTGTACAGCTCGTGGATGAGCGCAATGTCATGGGGCTTGAGCACCGAGAGCGCATTGACGACGCGCGTAAACGAGGACTTTTGCTGCTGCAAGACGACGCCCAAGACGCGGTGCACGGCCGCGTACAGGGCATCGAGCGACTTGTCGGCCTCGTACGTGGCATACGCCTGTCGCAGCACGGGGTGGCCTTGGCCGATGAGAAGCTCGAGGCGATTCAGCTGATCGGGACTCAGCGCCGACGGCGACGTGGCGCTCCATTGCGACAAGAGCGCGTAGAGCTGCTCGGTCCATGGGCGCGACGCGGGCACGGCTGGCGTACTCGTCGTCGTCGTCGTCCCCGCCGCCTTGGCCAGCACGAGCTCGTACGTGTGGTTGGGCTGGAAGAGCGTCGGAAAGGCCGTGCCAATCGCAAGCGGGATAAAGGTCTTGGTCTTGGCATGCGCAAAGCCGACGGCGTCCGTCGCCCACTCGGGCGCTCCTTGGGCAAAGAAGGCCGCATGCAGCATCAGGTTGAGCTCGCTCGGGCGCATCTTCTCGTAGACAGCGATCTTCTTGGTGACGCTGCCATGGCGGACCTCGGCGACCGCGATCGTCGGGGCGGCAAGGGAGGTCGTACCGGCCATGGGCGATGGAATCTTTTGGAAAGCAACGTCGCTGGCGTAAGCCGAGGCGTGAATATGCATATCGGTCCTCCAATATGCTCGCTGGCCGGGCGAATATGTGCTGTGGCAACACCGATTTTGCTGCTATATTCGGCATCTGCCACATTGAAACGCGCTCTCCACAACCCTTGCATGTACATACTCAAATCGAGTGTACACTTGCATATATTTACAGAATGTAAAGACAGAGCTTGCAAATATATGGCCGAGGATTTCGAAATGGGTGCGCGGGTGGTCTTTTTTTGCGGTTCACAAATAAAAATATCGTATTTTTAAACCGTTTCCCAGCGGCCGGGTTGCGGCGCCATACAAAAAGCAAGCTTGCATGGCATGCGCGTCACTTGATGGGGTTGGTTTTTAGCTATATTTTAATGATATGAGTCCAATAAAAGATGGCCTATACGTGGCACGACGCAGGCATCGAAACCGTGGCGACGCCGACCACTCGTCCCGACGACGTATCCGAACCACCCGTTGCGAGGCATCTCGATATATCGACGACGCGGTGGCCGAGAGTGGCATCTGCCGCACACAAGCAGACGACGGCCACTGTGCCGTACCGCCTGTTGAGTGTCGGCGCACGTGGCACAGCCGTCGCAGTTCGTGGGTGCGGCCGGTCGCCGTGTGGTCGCTTTGGCTTCGTCCGTGTAGCAATGCAGACGCGGGTACAGCGTCAGCATGAGGCGGCTACTTCAAGTCTCGGATGGATTGTCGATGTCCTGATGCACGAGTCGTTGTCGGCACAGCGACACGACAACCACGCTGCGTGCGCATCTCAGCAACCAGAAGAACCAGCATACGGGCATCACACTACGAGTTTTTTCAACAGCTCCTACTTCTGACCCCATATTTGCAAAAACTGCATCATGCACACTTTTCCGACATGAACCTCGAACACTCACTCACGGTGGCTGCGACGCACGGCCATGACGTCGACTGTTGCGGCGTCTTGTGGCTGAGACCCCAATCCTTTTTTTCGAAGCCGTGTTCGAAAATCGAGTTGTTGAAACATTATATTCTGAAACGACTCATCACTTGACTTTTGTATCAAACCAACCTCCATCAACGCATAGATACGTGTTCCCATTTCGCCGTCCGCGCCAACCAGCGATCGCTCTTGCTGCAGCGACGACGGCAGCCTTGCGGCGACGCAGACAAGCCTCCATGGGTCTCCATACCCATTTCAGGTGCGTCTCTCGCCGGTGCCGTTGCGTCGTGGTGACGATGCGGGTTGCTTCCGCCGCCCTTGGCGTCCACCTGGCCGCCCACTCTTGCTGCAACGACGACGGCAGCCTTGCGGCGACGCAGACAAGCCTCCATGGGTCTCCATACCCATTACAGGTGCGTCTCTCGCCGGTGCCGTTGCGTCGTGGTGACGATGCGGGTTGCTTCCGCCGCCCTTGGCGTCCACCTGGCCGCCCGACTTCTTGCTGTCAACGACGACGGCAGCCTTGACGGCGACGCAGACAAGCCTCCATGGGTCTCCATACCCCATTACAGGTGCGTCTCTCGCCGGTGCCGTTGCGTC